TGTTTTCAATTCAAAAAGACAGCTGCCCAATGCCTGAAATGAACATGAAATTGTGTGTCCACTCTACCTGAAGAAAAAATAAATAAAGCCACCTCTTCTTTTCCCTATATTCACAGGTCTGATTTAAATTGAGATCTAATTTTTGTATTGTCAGGTTTTTTTCCTCTCTTTCTCAGTGCCTTTCTTCTCTCCCCCCCCCCCTTTTAAAAGTAATCTCTATACCCAACGTGGGGCTCGAACTTGCGACCTGGAGATGGAGAGTCAGTGTGCTCCTCTGGCTGAGCCAGCCAGGCACCTCTCCCTGTTGCCTTTCATGCTCCTTCTTGAAGCGGGGTTCCTTTTGATATTTGTCTTCTGGGTTCAGTAATTCACAGCGGTCGAACTTGAGGCATTTTCTCCAACTAAATATTACATAAAAGCCCCCCTCCCCCCACCCCCCAAAAGGCCTAGAACACTTGCCCCTTCTGGCCAAGATTCTTTCAAGTGGTCAGCAAATGGCTTCCTTATTGGCTCTGTCCCTTGGAGTCCTCCGCCTCTGCCGTGTTGCCATCTTGTGAACATTTAAGAGCAAAATGGAGAATGACAGAACCTCATCTCCCGGGGCCATGGAGGGACACACAGCCTCGGAGATGCTCTCCCATCTGTGGGGAAGCTCTCGTTTCGCTGGCTGTGCTCCTTCTCTCATTCAGAGCTACAGTCCACATGGATCAGATTCTTAGCATTAAAAAATAAGCCAGCAGAGCCTGAAGGTGAGATAGGAAGGGAGGTGAGGTGAGGCAGGAAGGAAGCCGAGATCAGGGTCATGTTGGGTAAGAGGGGGGAGCCTGCTTTCATTGGGGCAAACATGGCGTCGCGAATCCTTCCCTCGCTTTCATCGCCTCTCCCCACTTCCCCTGCCACACGTGGGATAAGATCTGTCGGCCGAGCTGTGCCGGATCGGTTTGTACCAACTTGTGAGCGCCCATTGTATATGTCTCTTCCCAACTCTGAGTTTTCAGGGGGATTAGCAGGACGTTCCCTCCCCTGCCCACTGCCCCCCCGCCCCCGCCCCAACGTTGAAACTCACTCTTTAACCACTCCACACCCTTGTTGGTGAGCCGACTCTTTTCGTATCCACACATGTTGCGGCGTGGTGGTTGAAGGCCAAGGCAGGTAAGTCAGACAAATCGTGGTTTACAATTTGACTTTGTGCAAATTGCCTCACCTCTTTGAGGCTTGGATCCCATCTGTAAGTGGGAATGATGAGCCAGCCGTCCGCCCGCCCCCACCCCCACCCCCCCCAACCAGAGTGCTGTTGTGACGACCACATGAGAAAATACAGTGCTTGGCATTTAATAAATGCTTAATAAATATTAGCTATTGTTATTATCGGTAATGACACCCAGCAACGGTTTTCATCAACAACTCCCATCTCATTATTGGCAGAAAGAACTCGAGTTTAATTGTCCTGGATCCAAAGCCATTGTTTGCGGTAGGGATTCCACAGCTTGTACCTGGCGCTTGGCTTATCACCCGGGCACTAATCACCTGGGTCACCTTGGAGCACATTTGGCACTAGTTGAGCTTGGAGGATTCATTAGGAAGCCACACGATCAGAGATTAAAGACTTAAAAAAAAATGATTTAGGTGGGTGTTTAGTTATAATTATCTTAAATTGGAAAGAATGCTCCTGATAGAGATTATTGCAACCCTGCTTGATGGCCCAGAACCACTGTGGCATCTGGATCACTCCCTCCTCTCAAAGTTGCGCTGCCCCTCAGCCCCCCCCACCCCCCGCCCCTGCGAGTCTCTGCCAGGGGCGGGGGCACCTTCTAGTTCCACTTGGACCTGGTTCTAATCAGCTCATTTGCCCGGGAGGATGTCAGTCCTGTCCCCAGTTCCATTCACCGTGAAACCTGCATTTCCAACCCTCCCCCGGCAACCCGAGGAGCTCTGTGCCAGGAGCCTGAGACAAGCAGCGATGACGGACAGTTTTACTATTTTTTTTTACGTTTATTTATTTTGAAACACAGAGAGAGAGAGAGAGAGAGAGAGAACGCGAGCAGGGCAGGGGCGGAGGGAGGGAGACAGAATCCCCAAGCAGGCTCGGCTATGTCAGCGTGGAGCCCAACATGGGGCTCGAATCCATGGACCGTGAGGTCATGGACTGGACTGAAGTTGGGTGTTCTTGGCTTTCTTTGGGTTCGCTGACACCTTTGAGAATCTAATGAAAGGTACAGACCTCCTCCTTGGAAAAAGCACACACACACACACACACACACACAGTTTTGTCTACAGGGTATGAATCTTTGCCTTGGATGCTCCAAATTCTGTCCTGCTGCGACTCACTTCGGTGTCAAGGTCTCTCTTGGTCCCCGCAGAATGATTTTCCTTGAATGGCATCTAAAGGTTCTTCCTCGGTCTATTTCAAAGGAAGTTACGAGAAAGTCCCTACGGTTGTGGAGAGGTATACATTATTCACGTCATCACCTTATCATAGTACGTGTGTGACTAAGAAAGTCTTGTGGGTAAGGGGAGGATGCTGTTCATAATATTATTTTTATGATAATCCATGGTGAAAACTGGCCTTCATTTTAAAAAAAGTGTTTATTTATTTTGAGAGAGAGAGAGAGCATGGATAGGAGAGGGGCAGGAGGAGAGGAGACAGAGAATCCCGAACAGGCTCCGTGCTGAGCCCGACGAGGGGCTTGATCCCCGAACCGTGAGATCACCACCTGAACTGAGATCAAGAGGCAGACGCTGAACTGACTGAGCCACCCAGGCCTCCCGAAGACCTGCTCTCTTGATCTGTATGTTAGAAATAGTTGTGCTTCTCTTGACTTGGCTGTTTCTATCATCAGGTGTGTAAATCACAGCGTGATCTGTCTTCTTTTTTCGCACGGGGGGCCAGGGAACCCAGCCTCAAACTTGCGCTCCGCTTCTCGGGAGCATAGTGGGTTTTGTGGCAGGTGTTTTGTGCGGTCACTTCGTTCTTGGCTCTGCCTTACTTTCTTATCCTTGTTTCCCCTTTGTTTCATTTGTTCTTATTTACTTGTAATTTATTTTATGCTGTCCTATTATCATATGCATCTTTGCAAACCCTAAACACATCCTTGGAACCAGGCAGATATAAATCAATAAAGACGCACGGTGGCTAATGGAAGCTCTGGACAGCTTTCTTGTGGCTACATCTGTCCCTGCATATATAGGCTCATTTTGTGGGGGTGCAGAGGGCGGCTGAGGAGGGGGTGAGAGAAGGCCTGAGGGTCTTTAGGCAGGACGGTTGGCATGACTAGGAAATCTACCCTTACCGGAACAGAAGGAAGTACAGGGCATCGAATTGGGATACAATGTTTCTATCTGCCAACTAAAAGCAATGATCAAACCCTCCCCACCTCACGGGAGAAAGTATGTACTTAAAAAAATGAGGTCGCTTAAAAAAAAAGTTATTTGATTATGGAGAGTTTTGACTACACCTGAAAGTAGGTTAAACAGTATAACGAGCCCCTGCGGACCCCTCACCCAGCCCCAATAACCATCAACTCATGGCCAATCTTGCCCTATCCATATGTATTTCCTGTGTGATTTTGATTTTTAATTTTTTAAGCTAAGTATAATATATATATACAAAAAAGCACGCAAGGCATGAGAAAACACTGAGCACATTTTCATACATTGGACATACCCGTGAAACCAGCACAAAGAACAAGAAACTGAATATGGCCACCCCTCCCCCCACCCCCCTGGAACTGCTCTGTGCCCCTTCTTCCTCCCTCCAGACTCACTGCCCTCCTGACTTTTTTTTTTTTTAATTTTTTTTTTAACGTTTATTTATTTTTTTGGGACAGAGAGAGACAGAGCATGAACGGGGGAGGGGCAGAGAGAGAGGGAGACACAGAATCAGAAACAGGCTCCAGGCTCTGAGCCATCAGCCCAGAGCCCGACGCGGGGCTCGAACTCACGGACCGCGAGATCGTGACCTGGCTGAAGTCGGACGCTTAACCGACTGCGCCACCCAGGCGCCCCATCTCCTGACTTTTAATGTCATGGATGAGTTTTGCCTGGTTTTGACCTGTACATAAAAGGAATTGGACAGTATGGACCCTTGAGTCCGGCTTCTGATGCTCAGTATTATGTCGGTGAGATTCATTTACGAGTAGCTCATTTCTTTTCATTGGTGAGTGGTAGTCCCTTGTATGGATGTGCTATGGGTTAGCCATTCCCTTTTATAAAATGTTTTTTTTTTTTTTATTTGGGAGAAAGAGAGAGAGAGAGACAGAGCACAAGTCGGGGAGAGGCAGAGAGAGAGGGAGACCCAGAATCCGAAGCAGGCTCCCGACTCCGAGCTGTCAGCACAGAGCCCGACGCGGGGCCTGAATTCACGAGCCGTGAGATCATGACCTGAGCCATGTCAGACGCTCAACCGACTGAGCCACCCAGGCGCCCCGACTTTTACTTTTTTAAAAATCTTTTAATGATAGGGACGCCTGGGTGGCTCAGGCGGTTGAGCGTCCAACCCTCGGTTTCGGCTCAGGTCGTGATTGCAGGGTTGCGGGACTGAGTCCCGTGTCGGGCTCCATGCTGAGTGTGGAGCATGCTTAAAGTTCTCTCTCTCTCTCTCTCTCTCTCTCCCCCTCTGACCTTCTTCCCCACTTGCACGCTCCCTCTCTAAGATCAGAATCAAAATAAAATACAATAAAATGCCACAGCTTGTGATTATGGAATTTTCCCAACATGCTCAGAGGTAGAGAGAAGAAGGTCATGAGCCCCCATGTAGCCATTAGCTGGGTTCAACGGTCGTCCTGTAGCATTCATGAAGAAACGAATTTGTGTTTCAAGGTTACTGTTGTATTGTCATCCTTCTTCATTCTCCGTTGAAATGATAGAAAGGTAACAAGTGGACGTGTTGGTGGGGGGTCGGTCCCAGGGAGTGAGTGTGCCTCCAGATCAATCAGTTGATACTTGCTAAAGTGGGGTGATAGGTCCAGGGGGATTCATACAGTATTAAAAAAATTGGGGGCGCCTGGGTGGCTCAGTCGGTTGAGCGTCTGACTACAGCTCAGGTCATGATCTCATGGCTCGTGGGTTCAAGCCCCACGTTGGGTTCTGTGCTGACAGCTTGGATCCCGGATCCTGCATTGGATTCTGTGTCTCCCTCTCTCTCTGCCCCTCCCCTGCTCATGTTCTGTCTCTCTCTCTCTTTCAAAAATAAATAAATAGTTTAAAGAATCTAAAAAAATACTTAAAAATAATTAATGGTGGTAAGATACCCATAACATGAAACTTACTATCTGAACCATTTTAAAAAGTTTATTTATTTTGAGAGAGAGAGAGAGCATGAGTGAGAGAGCATGGGGGACGGGGAGAGAGAGGGAGAGAGAGAGAGAATCCCAAGCGGGCTCCACCCTTTCAGGACAGAGCCCTACTTGGGGCTCAAACTCACGAACATCATGACCTGAGCCCAAATCAGGAGTCGGAGGCTTAACCAACTGAGCCACCCGGGTGTCCCTACCATCTGACGTTTTGGAGTGGCCATCTCAGCACTCTTAGGCATGTTGACATTGTTGTATAACCAACCTCCAGAATTCTTTTCATCTTGCAACTCTACACCCATCGAACACCAGCTCCCTGTTTGTCTTCTTGTGACCGGCTTGTTTCATTCAGCATAATGCTCACTGTAACATTTTATCTACTTTTGTATAGACGTGCAATTTTTCATACTAAGATGTTGTGAAACCAAAAGCCTAGCCGGGAAGCTGGGAAAGTTGTCATCAGTTGGCCAGAACTTTTGGGAATATGTAAGGGGGGTAGGATCCTCACAGCAGTGCTGAAGATCCCAAAATTCCACACAGGCAAAAGGACTCTCTCTCTCTCTCTCTCTCTCTCTCTCTCGCAAAGGTGAGTTTTCTGGAGAATTCTGGAAGAGTCCCAAGACCAGAGGCAGCAAGGGCTGGAGGAGGGAGGGTGGGCTGTGGGGGTGTTGGTGAGGTTTCAAGTTCAGGACTGTACCCCTGACCCCAGCTCTCAGAAAGCTAGCTCCTAATAGTTGCTTCCAGGCCAAAGCCATGAGAACAACTCTCCGGTGTGGGAGGCTGTCACCTGGAAACAGGAAAGGGGGTCGCGAGAAGGGCATGACCCCATAGCCGTGGCCATCAGGGAAGGGAGCCCCCACGCTTGGAGAACAAGCTCGCAAACGTCAACGGAGAAAGGCCATCCAAGGCCTTCGTCACCACAACAGTCATGAGCATTCAGGCTTCCACAACCGGAACTCGCTTTCACGGTCATGAGAGGAGACATTTTTCACTGGAGTTTAGGAAACGCACACCAGCCCCCACTGTAGACCAGCCTGGACCTTCACCTCTGACGGGAACAGAGAGGAAAGAATTATCAAACATATTCGAGGGAAACTAACATTGTGAAAGAGAGGCACCAAACTAAACAAATGAGAGAACTAATCCCCACAGAATTCTCCCAGGGTATAGACAGATATTTAAATGAAGTAGGAGTGTTATCTATAAATCAAGAGCTGACTGCCGTCAAAAGAACATGTCAGAGTTCTCGGGATGAAATCAGACCCTTGGATGGAGTGGCCGACCACCGTGGCTGAAGATTGCGTTGACGACTGGGCTCGAGGAGTCTCTCAGAAAGTGCAAAAAGACAAGATGTATTTACTTTTATTATTTTTTAAAGATTTATTTATTTTTGAGAGACAGAGTGAGTCAGAGCACGAGCGGGGGAGGGGCAGAGAGAGAGGGAGACACAGGATCCGACGCAGGCTCCAGGTTCCGAGGTGTCCGCACACAGCCCGATGCGGGGTTCGAACTCACGGACCGCGAGATCATGACCTGAGCCGAAGTCGGACGCTCAACCGACTGAGCCACCCAGGCGCCATATATATATGTATAGATATATATATTTTTTAAAGCACAAGAGAAAAATTAAGAGACATGGATCCGGAGCTGAAATTCAAATATCGATCTAATAGGAGTTTTCAGAAGCAAAGAACAGACAGCCCGTAGGAGAGGAAATTATCAAAGTAATACTAGAACGAGCAGTTTCCCGGAGCTGGAGGGAAACTTCAAGCCTCAGATTTAGAGGGCAGACTGAGTGCCAAACAGGAAGACTTCTAAAAGACTCATCTCTAAGGGCATCACCATTTTGAATTCCAAAGGTAATTAAAAAGAAAGAAAGTCCAAACCTTCCAGAAAGATAAAAAAATAGAAATCTGATGCTGACCATGTCCGCGGGGAAGCCGGAAGACAAGGGTGCAATGTCTTCAAAAATCTGAGGGACGATGACTTTGAGATTTGAATTCTGTAAGTGTATCAGGCAGGCTCCAACCGGGAAGAGAGATCCCGGCGGCCGGATGCCATGGGAGCCAGGAGCAGGAAGGCTTTCTCTTTCTCTTGCCTTCGACCTCTTAACCGCGGCCTCCCTCCGATGGGCAGAAGGTTCTGGGCAGAAAGGCACCTGGGAAACGTCTGCAGTCTCCCAGCCCCAGCGGTTCAGAGCACGCTTTGACAGCGGGGTGAAGGGCTGAGACAACAAATAATACCACACGCTGGTCGGTGCGAGCTCAACCGTGAGGGTAGATTGAAGATGTGATTGGATGTGAAAGGGACTTGGGAAGTTTCACGCTTTCTGAGGGGATCATTTTGCGGTGCTCTCCGTTCGAGAAGAGAGTGCGCGGGCGGACAGACGAGGGAGGCAGAGAAGGGGCGAACGTGGCCACGACGGAGACAGACGTCCCGCACGCGTGGCGTCCCCGGTGAGGGAGCCGGTGTCGTGGCGCACGGGGGAGGCGGAACATCCCAATGCAACTGCCTGTTTGCTTCCTCGTGGGGCAGCTTGGTGGGCAGGGGAGGGAGGAAGCGGGGGAGGGAAGGTCTAGGATGATGGCATCTGAGTGCGGTTTCATCAGGCATTGAGATGGGGCCGAGAGAGAGAGAGAGAGAGAGAGAGAGAGAGAGAGAAATAGACACACACACACACACACACACACACACACACACAGCGTATTCCCAAGGGACCATTTTGGCCCTAACCCCAGAACCCTTCCACATGCCTTTTTAGCGAGGGAGGATGGGCCCAGGGGTTCCGGGGCCTGCCCCGTGTTCGTCCCCCATCACGCCCGGGGCCGACCAGATCCACATCATTTGCTATTTCATGCGTGCTTTCCTAGGAGGTAATGGATTAACCGGAGGAACGAAGCACCGGCTTTAGGCTGTCAGGCTCTTGGTGGCCAGTGGAAGCGAGCCAGGGCTACGTCCGTACTCCTCACATCATGGCAGAGGGGCCACAGCTTTTACACACGCATCTCCAGGGAGGAGGGTCGGGCAAAGACCAGAGAGAAATGGAGGTGGGAGGAGAGCCGGCCCGAGCAGGTTGGGCAGGGCACAGGCCCTTTATTATTTATTTATTTACTTATTTACTTATTTATTTTTAAAAGTTTTTAATGTTTTATTTATTTTTTGACAGAGAGAGAGAGAGACAGAGCACGAGTGGGGGAGGGGCAGAGAGAGAGGGAGACCCAGAACCCGAAGCAGGCCCCGGGCTCCAGGTTCTGAGCTGTCAGCACAGAGCCCGATGCGGGGCTCGAACTCACAGACGGGAGATCATGACCTGAGCCGAAGTCGGACGCTCAACCGACTGAGCCACCCAGGCACCCCGGGGCACAGGCCCTTTAGATAGCACTTGGTAACAAGTACCTTAAAAAGGATCTTTTAAAAAAGTATGTTAAGATATTTAAAAAAAAAAAATCCCTTAAAAAGCTCAAGCACTAAAGACAAGGTTTTCCGTCACGTACCGGGTCCTGCTCATTGTCTACGTCATTCTGCTCGGGCCCCCTTAACAGAATACCACCGACCGGGGGGTGGGGTGGCGGAGGTGGGCAGCAGGGCTTAAGCAGCGGGAAATTATTTTCCTACACTTTTGGAGGCTGGAAGCCCCAGATCAAGGTGGCGGTTCCTTAGTGTGATTGGTTTCTCCTGAGGCCTCTCTTCCTGGCTTGCACATGGCCACCTTCCCTTTGTGTCCTCACACGGCCTTCCGCCTGTGTGTGTCTGTGTCCTAGCGTCCTCTTCTTAGAAGGACAGCAGTCATGCTGGATGAGGGCCCATTCTAATGACCTCATTTTTTTTAAGTGTATTTATCTTGAGAGAGAGAAAGAGGCAGAGAGAGAGAGGGACAGAGAATCCCAAGTAGGCTCCGTACTCACGGGCTGGAACCCGACACGGGGCTTGAACCCACGAACTGTGAGATCATGGCCTGAGCTGAAAGAAACCCAGTTGGGTGCTTGACTGACTGAGCCACCCAGGCACCCCTCTAATGACCTCGTTTAAAAAAAAATTTTTTTTTAATGTTTATTTTTGAGAGAGAGAGAGAGAGAGAAAGACAGAGCATAAGCGGGGGAGGGGCCGAGAGAGAGGGAGACACAGAATCCGAAGCGGGCTCCAGGCTCCGAGCTGGCAGCACAGAGCCCGACCCGGGGCTGGAACCCACGAGCCGTGACGTCATGACCTGAGCCGGAGTCGGACGCCCGACCGACTGAGCCACCCAGGCGCCCCTCTAATGACCTCATTTTAACTTAATTACTTCTTTTGGACCCTAGCTCCAAATACAGTCCCGTTCTGAGGTACTAGGGGTAGGACTTCAGCATATGAATTGTAGGGAGGTACAGTGAAGCCTGTAACACCACCAGAACTCCAATGTTATGCATGACGGACGTGTACCCAGCTAAAAACATAGACTTCCCAGCCTCCCTTGCAGCTACTGGTCAACAAGATGCAAGCTGGCATTCTTGGGTGGGATTTCCGGAAAGCCCCTTGGAAGAGAGGCCGAATCAGCTTGGGGAGCCCCCCCTCCCCCTTTACCTTTCCTCTTTATCCCTGCGATTCTGATGCGATGGCTGGGGTTCCGGTGGCCGCCTTAAGAGCAGGGGGTTGATGGTCACCCCCTTGAGAAGAAGGGGGAAGGGGCTGCGTCCTCGGTGTCCTCGTGGAGTGTCCCTAGCTGCCCTGGATGGCCTGCCTCTGGAGCTATCCTACGGGAGAGAAAAAGAGATCCCTCTCTCGTTTAAGCTACCCGTTTTCAGGCCTGCGTTACTG